GCAGTGAACTATAATGATGCTACTGCACTCTAGCCCAGGCAACAGAGGGAGAATCTGTCTCACAAACAAACAATAACAACAAGACTAACTTGACAGACACAAATTAAATCTCTACTTAAGTAGCGTGTCGCTACTTTCTCCCCACTCAGCTCATTTCATCCCACAAAAAAATTCCAGACACTAATTGCAGGCATCCCATAAGATCACTGAGGGAAGGAACTGACTGCAAAGCTACCAGAACCTCAATAAAGCTCAGAGGGCACCAGCTGAGCCGTCTGCTCTCTCTCTCCCCAGTCGGGTTGCCACGTGGAATTGCTCTTCCTCCGCTACATTTCCGACTGGGACCTAGACCCTGGCCGCTGCTACCGAGTCACCTGGTTTACCTCCTGGAGCCCCTGCTATGACTGTGCCCGACATGTGGCCGACTTTCTGAGAGGGAACCCCAACCTCAGTCTGAGGATCTTCACCGCGCGCCTCTACTTCTGCGAGGACCGCAAGGCTGAGCCTGAGGGGCTGCGACGGCTACACAGGGCTGGAGTCCAAATTGCCATCATGACCTTCAAAGGTGCGAAGGGGGACCCTTCTGCACTGGCTCAGGATAGCGGACATCATTCTGGTATTGCAATGTAGAATGGCGAGAGTCAGTGGGGACCAAGGTTTTCTTTCTTTTCCCTCAATTTGAGACCTGAACGATCTTCTATCCCTTACAGTGACCCCCCCCCTTTTTTTCTTTTAAAGATTATTTTTACTGCTGGAATACTTTTGTAGAAAATCATGAAAGAACTTTCAAGGCCTGGGAGGGACTGCATGAAAATTCCGTTCGTCTTTCCCGACAGCTTCGCCGCATCCTTTTGGTAAGGGGCCTCCTGGTGTCTTATGTTCTTCTCTCTCCATAGTCTTTTCCTGGAGCTTCCTATACTTCTTATATTTTATTACATATTTTTTATCCCTCTCATTTTTCCTGTGATGAAAACATTATTTCTCTTTCAATTCATTTTTCTCTTCCGTTGTTTCACAGTTCAGAGCCCTCTGCTAACATTCCTTTCCCTTACCTTCTCTTTCTTTCATTGTTTCACACTCCTTCTTTCTATTAGTCTCTCCTTGGGATTGCTTCCTTCCTCCCAGCAGAATGCTTTTCTCCTCCCATCTCCTTATTTATTAGCTTGTTTTTTTTTATTTATTAGAGACAGGTTTGTGCTCTGTCACCCAGGTCGGAGTGCAGTGCTGTGGTCATAGCTCACTGCAGCCTTGAACTCCTTGGGCTCAAGTGATTTTCCTGCCTTAGCTTACAAGTAGCTGGGACTATAAGCTCCAGTGCCACCACATCAGCCAACTGAAAAGGGGGGAAAAGTTCTCATGGTAGAACCAGGGTCTCACTATGTTGCCCAGCTTGGGCTCAGACTCTTGGCTTCAAGAGATCCTTTCCCCTCAGCCTCTCAAAGTACTGGGATCACAGTCATAAGCTACCACACCTGGCCTTCTCTTTTTACTCCTGATTTGCTTTCTTCCAAAATGTTACAATGCCATTCACTCCGTTTATAACTCCCCCTCACTCCGCCCCAACTCAGTTTTGAAGCTAGTCACTAAATTTACTTCTGTCTTTATCTACAGCCCCTGTATGAGGTCGATGACTTACGAGATGCATTTCGTACTTTGGGACTTTGATAGCAACCTCGAGCAATGCCACCAACAATGAATTGTCTCTGCTGAAGATAGTGGATAAAAGAACAATCATTCAAGTCTTCTCTGTTTTTCTTCGAAAACAATTTCATATGACTCTTTAAAAATATCTGTCTTGAAAACAGAGAAGGAACACAGGCCCACCAGGGTGATGCTGACAATGGTGTGGTTTTGAATGCAACACTGACCCCTACTGGGAGCAACAGAACTGCAGGACTGGGGAGCATCCTAAAATGTCAATGTTCTTCTATGACTTTTAGGCAGGATGAAAGCTGAGGGTAGACCTTAAAAAGCATGGTGGGAGGATCAAATGTTTTTCCATCAGTATCATTTATTATTCGATTCATCTGAGTTGCCAGTGATGTTAGTGATAGATTTTTCTACTCTTCTCCCTTGACATCTACATTCAAGTAACACAATCTCTTCCATCAGGCCATGATCTATCTGTACAGTACCTCCTAATGAGAGGATGTGGGTAATTATAACCTCAGACCATCTTTCTAAAGCATTAATATCCCAACATGTGCTGTTTTAATTGTCAGAGTCATATTTTTAAATGTATACATATAAAGAGGTTTTTGTAGGGGGAGAAAGAGGATATATAGATTACTCATGGTCACCTTCAAACTATTTTAATACAAGATCCTAAAATAGATCTGAGGACTACGAAGACATTATAATCATGAGTTGATGGCCCAAGTAGCCAATCCCCTGGAAACACAGACTTTTTAAAAGAAGTTTAGAAACATTCATGAATTTCCCAAATAATATTAGTGAACACTTGCAACAGACTTGCTTGAATGTTAAAAGAGGAAAATATATTCTCTCTGATGGGTCTTTTAATCTCAGCAATGCCAATCAGGTCAAGGTTTTTTACCTTTAATATGTATGTGTCATTTATTCCAAAGATATGTTAACTATAAGATGGTGATAAAAGAATAATAAAGCTGGGCATGGTGGAGTGCACCTATAGCTAGAGCTACTACAGGGGCTGAGATAGAAGGCTTGCTTGAGCCCAGGAGTTTGAGGCCAGCCTTAGCAACATAGCAATATCTTATCTCTAAAACAAAACAAAACAAATCAAAAAAAAAGAATATATGTTAGAGAAGGGAAAGTTTGAAAGGGCATTGTAAGGAAATCATGCTTTATCCAGCAAAGTGTAGGGAGCCAATGAGGGTTCCCTATTTGTTCATATTGGTGCCTTTTTATCACTAGCAATTATCTTTGCCAATGAGAAAAATACTCAGAATAACCATGTCCTTGTGCAATTATTACCTAGCAACCCTCACAATGCAGATGAACAAATGCACAGGAAAACCTGTATGCACAATTGTATTATTTTAATCTTATTGTACATAAATTTGTGAAAGAATTAAATGTTCAATACTGTTACTTCATGTATTCATTTCTATTTTATTTTATGCTATATCATATTGATGATATTTTTGTTATAATTTCCTTTTCTGATGTATTAAAATGAATTCCTAAAGTCTCATAAGTTTGTAACTTTAGAAATGATTATGAAAGCAAAAAATAAATAATTACAACACAGTTTAACATTGTAGTAATATTGCTGTTAAGCCATTTCTTTCTTCATTTTTAGGGAATTTTTACCACAGCAAATTTGATTCTGGCTTGTTTTTAATCAACTAAATAAATGACAAATAATTTTGGAAGTTTTGAAGATAAAATGCTGAACGAAATAATACAAACATGATTTATAATAAGTAAAAATGAAAAGCCATTATGATAGAATAAACTTGAGAGTCCAGAAATTAACCTACACATCCATGATCAACTGGTTTCTCATAAGAGTACAAAGACCATTCCATGGAGAAGGGTTCAAACCTGCCAGCCTGGGTGTATGTGCCCAGCGCCCTACCCACTGAGCTACAGGCACCACCGAGAAAAAACAGTATTATCAATAAACGGTGCTGGATCAATTGGCTATCACATGCCAAAGAATGAATTTGGGCGCCTATCATATACAAAAAATTAACTCAAAATTGATTAAATATCTGAATGTATGAGCTGAAAGTATAAGCCCTCCGAAGAAAACATAGGTGAAAATCTGTATAACCTTGGATTAAACAACTGTTTCTTACATAAGACACTAAAAGCACAAGCAACAAAAGAAAAAAAATGGATGAATTAAATTTTATCAAAATTAAAAACCTTTATGCATCAAAGGATGCAAGTAAGAAAGTGAACAGGTAATCCACAAAACAGGAGAAAATATTTATAAATCTTACAACTCATAAGAGTTATGATATTATGAGATTATGTTTTCACCTACAGTGCCTATTTCATAACTCCCATAGCCTTCGTTAAAGTCTCCAGCTATCGGATGGCATGGTAGCTCATGTCTATAATCTGAGCCCTCTGGGAGGCTGAGGTGGTGGATTACCTGAGCTCACAGCTTGGAGACTAGCCTGAGCCAGAGCAAGACCCAAAAATAGCCGGGCATTGTGGTGGCTACCTATAGTCCCAGCTACTTGTAAGGCTGAGGCAAGAGAATCACTTGAGCCCAAGAGTTTGAGGTTGCTGTGAGCTATGACACCACAGCACTCTACTGAGGGCAACATAGTGAGACTCTGTCTCAAAAAAAAGAAAGAAAGAAAAGGAAAAAAAAATAGAAAAACTAGAAAATTGTGACAGGTGCCTATAGCCCCAGCTACTTGAGATGCTGAGGTAAGAGGATCAAGTTTTGAGGTTTCTGTGAGCTATGACACCACAGCATTCTACCCAGGACAACAGAGTGAGACTCTGTCTCAAAATAAATAAATAAAGTCTCCAATTATAATGTTGGGGTTCTTTACACCTCTGAAGCAAAAATTTCTATCTGAATTTCTACTATCTCCTGTTTCTGATCCTTCATTCCTCCCGAAGGCTAGCCGTAGTAACAAGGATCCCTATTCTATAATGTAGGTCTTAGAAACCAGAATCCCTTTTCCCCAAAGCCAGTATAGGACCTGCCCCCACTTTTCTGTGTAAAAGTTGGCCATAAGGAATTATGACCTTGGGCAGCGCCTATGGCTCAGTGGATAGGGCTCCGGCCCCATATACAGAGGGTGGCGGGTTCGAACCAGCTAAAATAGCAGTGGCAACTGCAACAAAAATAGCCGGGCATTGTGGCAAGTGCCTGTGGTCCTGGCTACTTGGGAGGCTGAGGAAAAAGAATCGCCTAAGCCCAAGAACTGGATGTTGCTGTGAGCTGTGATGCCACTGCACTCTACAAAGGGTAACAAAGTGAGACTCTGTCTCTAAAAAAAAAAATTCTGACCTATCTCATTTGACGGTAGGTCATCAGGTCCTCATTCCAGAGAGGGTTCTGCCCCATACCCTGAGGGGGAAAAATGCTGCACAGATAACCCAAGTAGTATCTGAACAGACTGGCCTTTCTGAGTTTCCCCGCTCTGTCTATTCATATGTGATTACACCCTTGTTGTGCAATCAATCACATTTCCACCTGGATGTCCATACTTCAAATATGTCAATCCAATGAAATCTCCATAAAAGGCCTGCTAAGTCAGAGATCAGGGAGCTTCCACACAGTTGAACGGTTGGAGGCTTATAGGGAAATGAACAAAAGCTCATGCAGGGGCAGGTAGGTGGAGCACCCGGACTCCATGGGGACAGAAGTTTCTGTGTGGGGTCTTTTCCAGATTTAGCCCTGTGTATCTCTTTGTTTATTTGCATCCTTTAAAATATCCTTTCTGGCTTGGTGCCTGTGGCTCAAGTGGCTAAGGTGCCAGCCACATACACCTAAGGTGGTGGGTTCGAATCCAGCCCAGGCCCACCAAACAACAATGATGGCTGCAACCAAAAAAATAGCCAGGCGTTGTGGTGGGCGCCTGTGGTCCCAGCTACTTGGGAGGCAGAGGCAGGAGACTCGCTTGAGCCCAGGAGTTGGAGGGTGCTGTGAGCTATGATGCCATATCACTCTACCCAGGGGGACAGCTTGAGGCTCTGTCTCAAAAAAAAAAAAAAATATTTTGCAAAAAGCCAGTAAACATAAGCATTGCCTGAGTCCTGTGAGCCTATCTAGCAAATTAATGGAACCCGAAGAGGGGAATCGTGAGAACTCCGACTTAAAGCTGGTTGGTCGGGAGTCCCATGCTGGTGGGCAGAAGTGGGGCATCCTTGTGGGAGTGAGCTCTCAATCTGTGAGGTCTGATACTATCTTCAGGTAGATAGTGTTGGAATTGAATTGGAGGACTCTCAGCTGGTGTTTGCTAAACAAGTTTTTGCTTGGTGTGTGGAGAGAAACCTTCATGCATTTGGTGAACAGAAGTTTTTGGTGCTGATTGCTTTTGTGATATGAGAGCAGAGGAAAAACAGTCTGTCTTTTCCACCCAAGGGTCTAGTCTTCAGAATATATAAAGAATTCTCAAAACTTGGCCCAGTGAAGTGGCTCCAGCTGTAATCCTAGCACTATGGGAGGCTGAGGAGGAAAGATCACTTGAAGCGAGGAGTTCCAGATCAGGCTGAAGAACAGCAAGAACTCATCTCTCTAAAAATAGAAAAATTAACTAGGCTTTGTGGAGGATACCTGTAGTCCCAACTACTCTAGAGGCTGAGGCAGAAGGATCAGTTGAACCCAGGAGTTTGTGGTTGTTGTGAGCAAGGGTGATGCCGTGGCACTCTAGTCTGGCCAATAGAGTGAGACTCCATCTTAAAAAAAAAACAAAAAAAAGAAAATTGAATTCTTACAGCTAAAACAAAGCCTAATTTAAATAATGACCAAATGGCTGGGTCAGTGGCTTATCCCTGTAATACTACCACTTTGGGAGGCCGAGGCAGGAAGATCCCTTGAGCTTAGTAGTTTCAGACCAGTCTGAGCAAGAGCAGGACTCTATCTCTACTAAAAATAGAAAAAATTAGTCAGATGTTGTGGTGTGTAGTCCCAGTTACTTGGGAGGCTGAGGCAGGAAAATCAGTTGAGCCCAGGAGTTTGAGGTTGATGTGAGCTAGGCTGACACCATGGCACTCTACTCCAGGTAACAGAGCAGTATTCTGGCTCAATAAATAAAGACCAAAGATTTTAGTAGACATTTCTCTAAAGATATATAAAAGGC